TTATACTTGATAAAAAATTGACTTATCTTTACCACATAGAAAGTGTAATAAACAAAACTTCTAAATTTTTAGGTTTTATTATGCGACAAGGTAGAACTTTTAAAGAAGCTAAAACAAAAATCTGTCTTTACAACAGCCTTGTCCGCAGTCACGTGGAGTACTGTAGCGTTGTATGGCGTCCACATTATTCTACACACTACTTAAGACTGGAGCGTGTACAGAAAAGATTCATGTGGCATCTATCATACTCAGCGAAGATTAACAAAACGGTGGTGTCCTATAAAAAAAGGCTAAAATACTTTAACATCATGACTCTTGACCAAAGAAGAGAATTGTTAGATTTAATGTTTTTATACAAATTACTAAGTAATAAGTTAGACTGCCCCAGTTTACTAAGTAAAATTAATTTTCGAGTACCACGCAGATATCCGCGTACTGCTATTACTCCGGTCATGCCCCCACGCACCAGGACGGTATTCGGCGCCAACTCCACAATCCCTCGTTTATGTAAAATATATAATAAATTCAGTCAGTTAATTGACTTCAACATTAATTCGCCTAACACCTTTCGTAAATTAATTATCAGCAACCTAGTCAGCCAGTCATCCTGAGTGTGATTTTTTTTCTGATATTAATTATTACGTATATTTTCTTTTAATTTCTTATAATATATATTTGGTTGGGTTAGATTGTGATAGTTGTTAAATTAAGTTGTAATTTTAATTGAAAGACTAATTATTAGTTTGATTAAATCTCTTTTGTTGTTTAAATAGTTAAGGTTTCACATGCTTTTACCAAAATTACTATTGTGTTTTTTTTGTTTGTTTCTGATTTTTTTTTTCTATTAACTTATTTCAGATTTATACACTAATACTAGCAAAAATAGCATGTAGTGTTTACTTTAAATGATTTTACATACTCTGTGCAAGTAATATAGTAATTATACTTTAAGAAATGTACGTAACATATGTATTGTAAAATCGCTGGTAGACCCAATAAATAAATAAATAAACTCCAGCATGCTGCAGGTGTTCGATGCTGAGCTACAGACAGCGGCTGCCGAAAGTATACCTACACACAATATGTTCATACAATCTGTCAAGCATTATTTTGTGTTGATGGTTACTACACATACTATCGCAAATTTCTGAAAATTCTGCTGGAAAATCTATTAATTTTAACCTGGAGTTATATTCATTATAATATTTATCAATTTGATCATTATCACGCTCTCCCCATATGATTTTATTAATCCAGTTTTTTGACTGCGCTAATTTTGGTGTTACAACATTGAAATTACACTCTATCTATAGCCACTCACAAACGTATTGGTATCCGATGGTAACAAGCTTTTGTCTACACACGTCCGTAACTGTTCAGAGCAAAATGAGTTCTGTGTAATAAGATTCACCTGGGTGCGCGTTGTAGTCCGAACATAAACACAGTTTCCACATTATGAATTTAAATAATAGCCGCCATCTCACTAAGACACTCTGTGAATTCCACTAGATTTTCTTTTTATCTATCGGCATATACACTGAAACGACTATAAGACAATGATCACTTAGGTCGATTTTAATCGCCGCAAGCCTAACACTTCTACACTTCACTATGGTTACATAAGCAAACACAGCTTTTCTCCAGAGAAGGGCCACACCTCCATAGGATCGCCCGCGTAACACACCGACTGCAGTATAACTGCAGTATGGCTCTACCACGTAATTCAAAATATTTATTGTAAGTGTTACATTTAGCGTTAATTTAAAATATTATGTATCTTACAACTTAGCCACCCTTTTTAGTCTGTGACTTGAATAGTTATATTGATCATAATTAATCAAAATTAGAAAAGAAATTAAATTACATAACTTAGCTATTGTTGCGCGCCACTATTAATGTCTTGTACATGGCAACACTAGTTACCACTAGCGCCCTCTAGTATCGAGTAGCAGAACTAGGAGACTCAAGATCCTTCTAGAAATTTCGGGACCGATATGTACTCGAACATTCGAGATGTCGCTACAGTAGAAGGTTCTGGAAACTATCTGAGGCCCTATATAAGGCCGGTATAGACCACGACCGAGTCAGTATTGAAGTGGTGATACAAGCGAATACTTCGAAGCGAAATAACTGCGAACTAAAGTGATCAGTAGTACAATTGTGTTTTATTATTAGTGTGGTTTTAAATTGTTATTAGTGTTCTGTAATTAAAGTGTCAATTTTGGTAATTCAATCGGCAGTTTTTAATTGTCTCGAACCCCAAGCTCGTAACACTATTATAAAATTCTAAATAACAAATTGTTTTGGTTGTAGCTAAATACTCTTTGAAACACAAGGCGCGCACACAACGAACGAATCGCGCGCTTGCTCTTTTGCTGGCTCACTTGATCCGTTCATGATTATTCATGTACAGCAGCTCAAACTCGAGTTAGGGAGATCCAACTCGAATTAACTCGAGTTATCTCGAGTTGACTCATAACTACTTTCTGATAATAGTTTTGTAGGTTCAGCTGTCTGCTGTCTAGATACCGAAATATAAAATTATTTTAAATTTTAAAAATCCAAATGCTAGTTCAGTTTTCACTGGCGAAGCTATTGCTATTTTAGAAGCAATTTTGTTTTTAAAATAAAAGATGCACTGTATAGATCCTTTTGACAAGGTGTCAACTTGAAACTTGCTTGGCTGCCAAGTCATAGTGGCATACGTGACAACGAAATTGTCGATTTCTTAACAAAACAAGCATCTACTTCCGCTACCCTCATGCATCATATAACATATACTCATGTTCATATTTCTCTTACGAAAATCCATCAGATCCATCAAAAAACTCAGAAGTCTACTGGTAAATATTATGCAGAACTCCAACCTGACATCCCCTCCAAACCAAACCATGTTTTTTTAAATTCAGAAAAGGCTTCAAACATAGCATCTGCCATATGTAGAAATTAAGATTGGAACACACGTGTTATCTGTATTTTTGACAAAACTTACGATTAAAGATAGCTCAATTTGTGAGTGTGGATTAGACGAAGGTTCGATCGATCACAATTTTTTTAATTGTCCCGACCTCTCATCATCAACCTTTCATTATACAATTTTCTTCCTAATAACATCCCTCGTTCCTTAAAGCTTAAGTCTTTGTTAAATTTAGTTTACACTCCTTTTGTACAAACACACGCACACACACACGCACACACGCACGCACGCACGCACGCACGCACACACACACACACACGCACACACACACACACACACACACACACACACACACACACACACACGCTCACACTTAAACTTATTTTTAAGATAACCTTTTAAAATCTAAGCACTATATAATTAATATCATTAATTTGTCAATTAACAAGCGATAGTATAAATATTATGTATATAAAGTAAGAACCTGTAATTGGCATTAAGGATTATTTGAGAATTTCTGTTTATATTTATAACGTGCTGTTGGTTCTATGAACAATAAAGAAAAAAAAAACTTTATTAGACGGAAACTAGTCGAATACTGTGTGTGACTTTCATGAAACACTTGACGCTGGCAGAATCCATTAGAAGTTGCCAAACTAGGAAAAAATCTATAGTTCCAATTCCAAATGTAAGATGGCCCACCTGTAGCTGTCTTTGTACAGTCAGATAGCTATTTATTTAAATATTAACCCGATTTGCTGTCCCTAGCGGCGAATCTGGTCGATGACTGCACTGCCAACCAAGTTTCGGCTGCAGGGGGTATAGAGAGCGGCGCCTCGCGATACCGTCACTACTCTCTCCCCGCAACCCCACCACCACCGCATCAGCCTTGTTACCCCGCCAGAGTCGCGGAGGATAGGGCGAGTGGCGCATCACCATACCAGCACTCCTCTTCCCCCGCGACTCCACCTCAGCTGAGGCGGTAGGAGGAGGGATAGGACACCCCCCTCGCCGCAGTCCACCAACTCACATCCAAAGTGGGCTCGCCGAACCCACTCGGAGTGGCCACCTCGGGTCGGCCCTTCACCTCGGGCTAGCCATGTGGGTTCCTCTTAGTTTACCGCAACATAAGTTTTTTCAACCTTAATTCATAAATATGCCGATTATCACTAAATGACATTTTATACGTGGTAGAGCCATGCTGCAGCTACATTAGTAGTTTAGCTGTAGCACGAATGGGTCGGCTCGAACGGGGAAGGACCACGCTCTCACAGAATACCAGCGTGGAATAGCAGCTTAACACTGCTGTGTTTCGTATGGTGAGTGTAGAGAACCAGAGACCCTTTTTACCGGAAAAGAGGAATTCCAACTTAGTCCTCACGGATAACAACACATCTGCATTTCGATACGCAAACGAGGATAGATGTAGATGTCTATGGGCCACAGTAACCACTTACCATCAGGTGGACTGTGTGCTCGTTTGTCACCCTATGCTATAAAAAAACATGGATATTTTTTCTTATGTTTACCAAAACAGTTATGGGCTGGCCTCTCGCCCGGTGCCTGCTTGACTTTGAGTTTCGGGACACCGTATATATTAATCGCGAATAGTTTCCTCAAATATGTTTCAGTTAACCAGAATAATCGCTATAAAACGATAATTTTCTACATTGTTTTTAGAACCTAATTTGTGAATAAGTGATGTATACTTCCACCACCGAGTTGGAAATGTTCCAGTTTTTAAATTTGTTAAAAATAATTCTGAGCGGCATACAACTTTGACGGCTCCATGGCGCAGTGGTTTAGCAATGAGTTGATGCGCTGGGGGCCGCGGGTCCGAATCCGGCACGGAACATTTATTTGTATTTGCCTACAAATAATTGTTCCGGGTCTGGATGTTTGTCCTCGTGCAATCTGTTTGTAAACTGCCTCCACAATACAGGAGAAAATCCCAGAAAAAAAACGGTATGACAGGTTTAATGGTTTGAAATCTCTAGCTTTATTTTGTCAAGTTCAGTGCCCTTTCTAAATAAACATTAAATAAATAATTTAAGAGGAAATATTGAAAATGCCAAGTCAACACTTAGAAAGTTTAATTATACTGTGATAGTAGACATCAACAACAGTTTTTATCACAAGAATAAAATAATTTAAAAAAATATTTTCTACACATCGAATATACATAGGAAAGGATTTAACATTTATAGATATTGTTCAATCTTTTCAAAGTATTCCATGCATTTGTTTCTGTAGAAAGTATTGTTGTAGAAGACAATATTACTGAAGAAGTCTTCTACGTTTGTCACCTGCACTGGAAGAGAATTTAAAACATCCTTCTTCTCGTTCTGTCGTACTTTATTACACTCGTCATCTATGATCTCCAAATATTTCAGAGAAGGTTTGTCAATCAAGTTGTTCAGAAGAATGCCTCCAGAAGATGAAAAGCCGGTTTTTTCGAAACACGACTTTGATAAAATGTATAACACGCTCACATTGAAGTGTGTCAACGTGTTGAAATTCTGCAACAGGATTGATTCACCATCTGACAACTCTCTGAGACCATTCAGCAATGTTTTAAAGCAATTCTTCTCATGAACATTGTAACTATCCTTGTACTGGAATTCGGGCAATGAAATCAATTTATATGCTTCAGTTTCAAGGTTAGCATCTGTCTTTGGTTTAGGAGGCCTATACAGAATGATCTCCTTGAATTCCTCTTCAGCGAGAATCTGTTGGTACAGTTTAAAGATAGGCACAAATATAAACTTTGAACTGTTGATCTTTTGCAATGGTCTGCCATAGGTAAAGACCAGATTGATTTTTGCAGATTCGCCACTGGACATCCATTTAACTGACTCATTAATGAGGATCGTTGGATTGGAAAGCAATTCAGCTTGCAGAAAGGAATTTAAGTTCTTCAGTTTCTCTTTCAAAGACATCTTTGTGTACAGTTGCCTTTCTGTATAGGAGCCTCGGTGGTAGCGTGGGTTGGTGTTAATTTTATTCTCTTCATGGAGAGCTCCCTTTAAAATCTCCTGTGCACTGTCTATTGGTTTAAGGTCATATTTCCAAATAAACTCTGAGGCGACTAATGCTCTGATCTTCTTCATATCTCTATGCAATGCGATATTTTTCTGCATGAGATAAGCCTGTAGGTTGTTGTTTATAACTTGGCACTGGATTGAGCAGAAGTAGTAAGCGCATTCTTCAATCTGCTTGAGAAATGATTCTGGTATTTTTTCAAGTGGGAATAGTGATTTATTCGTGTAGAGTTCCGTTCCGAAAGCAGAACGAAGTATTGGTAAGTACGGTGTCAGATCGATACCTTTGTATTGTAGACAGATTGCGTATACCTCGGAGTTACCTTGACGAGAAGTGATCGGTTTATAAATGTTGACTTCTTTAAATAGGTGATTGATAAGATACAGAAGACTCACAGTGGAATGTTCAAAAACTGTAAACAGCTTAAATATGAGAGTCCCGCCTGAAAAAAGAAATATATTTACCAACTCCAGATAATATTTAAGGTTAGTATTAAAGATAAACAGAAAGAGAGACAGCATTTAAAGGACGCGACACTTATTATTTGTTATGAAGTTGTTCAAGCGTCTGACAACATTAAAAATAAAACAAATGCCACAATTTGATTTCTACTTCAACGCTTCCGACCTGGTTTTCTTTTAGGTCAACTTCTCGTAAGAAACAACTATAGGAAGGACCATAGCTTTTGACACATGGCGGTATATGGTTTACACTAGATTTGAAACACCTAGACGGGAGACAGAGAGCTGGTGAAAGTCATCTGGTGCTTGAATCTTTATTCCGCCTACTTAGCTTAACTATTATAGTGAACTTTACTTAAAAAGGAGAGAATTGTCCAGCGGTAAAATTTTACTGGCTGGCGAAATAGACTTATATGGGTCTAATAGTCGGCTCCATTGGCAACCTTATGCCCGCAACACTGATAGATGGAGCAAACACTTCTATGAACACTACTAGACGCTAGTCGAGCTCTGCGGCCTCAATACATTGTGCACTAGGTTACGGTCAAATTCTTCTAACTCGTTTATTCGACTGCGAGCAGGCACCGCGAACATTGTTTTCCACAATCTAACACTGATTTTGTTTAATGTGACTAAGAAAACTCTGTCATTATTTATATCCGCACTTGGTTCAACATGATTTGAAATTTATTTCATACTAGCTGTTCCCCGCGACTTCGCCCGCGTGTTATTTAGGGTTTTAAATTTTTTGCGCGGAACCCTAATTATTTTTCTGACATTAAAGTAGTCAAAGTTACTCCTTATAGCATCTGCTATCTGCCAGTCCAAGTCTCATCAAAACCGGTCCAGCCAACAGACATACAGACAGACAAAAATTTAAAAAATATTTTTTTGTTATATGTAGCGTATATACTTTCAAATGCATTAAGTAAAAAGTTGTGATTTTGACATTACAAACAGATACTACAATTTTATTTATGTGTATAGATAATTATGTAACTTTATTTCGTATTTGCCTAAAAACAGTAAGTCGTAAATTAAAATACAACCGCGTGACATATTTACCACGCCAGTTACTCGACCGCGCACACACCCTCGCGATTCACACATGTGTCACAGTTTTTGTTTTGAATTACTGGTCCAGTAGTTATACATACAAGTGTTTGAGATGGAATGACAACTTTATAATAAATACATGAAGACTATGGATACAGGTGGCTCGGAAACTCAAGAATCTCACAGAATACAACTTAATGCTGATGTGTTTCGTATGGTGAGTGTAGAGGAGAACCGGAGGACCTTTTAACTGGAAACTAGGCATTCCATCCAAGTCCTCAGGGGTGACAACACATCTGCATTTTGATTCTTAATCATCTTATACGGCAGTCTTGGTAATCTGTGGGGGAAGGGAGGGGAAAGTGAACTTGTTTTGTGGATTTTAGGTCTTGGTTATACAATAAACTGACGTAACTGAATAAACCCCACATTCCAACAGTACAAAGAAACAAGTGATCATAGTTCTCTTAGTACAGATCTGTTCATTGTAAGTATTACATAAAAGTAATGGGTGTTTTTTTACCTGCATGAGAAGTGTCGATGGTTGTTGTCTATGGTTTGACAGTTGAGAACGTCAAACTATGTTGACATTTCTGTTCAGTAAGGTTTGGCAATTCATCATGAATCGTTGAACGCCAGAACAACACTTCCAAATTGTAGAAATTTACTTTGAAAAAAAATCTGTCCGCGTAGTTCATAGTCCTTCGTTCGTCCATTTTACGGTCAACATAATCGGCCTAGTGAGCAAGCAGTTCGTGCAATTATTGATCGTTATCGCACTAATTTTACTCTTCTCAATTCAAAGCCCTCAACAAGACAAAGAAAAGTGCGTACCGAAGAGAATATTGCTGCTGTAGCGCGAAGTGTTGAAGAAGACGCCGAAATGTCGATTCCTCGCCGCTCTCAACTTGTTGGCCTTTGTCCTTCGACTAAGTGGAAAGTTTTACGTACGGATCATAGCTTATGTGCCTATAAAATACAGCTCATGCAAGAATTAAAGTCAAATGACCATCGTTTACGTTGCATTTTTGCTGATTGGGCTAATTTGAAACTGGCCGAAGATGAGCATATTTATCGAAGAATTGTGTTTAGTGATTAAACTCATTTCTGCTTAAATGACTTCGTAAATATATAAAATTGCCGTATATAGAGCGAAGACAATCCTCATGCCATTAACGAATCACCATTACATACATTAAAATTGACTGTTTAGTGCGGTACACGCTGGCGGCATCATCGGTACGTTTTCTTTCGAAACGAGCGAGGAGCTGCCGCTACGGTGAAAGGCGAGCGCTATCGAGCCGTGCTGACAGATTTTTTGTTTCCAATAATCAGCTAAACATCGACGACATTTGGTTTCAATAAGACGGCGCAGCTTACCATACAGCGCGCTTAACCATCAATTTGGTTTGACAACTTTATTTCCAGAAGTGGTCCTGTTAACTGGCCCCCTCATTCATGGGACTTAACGCCTGTCGATTATTTTTTAAGGGGCTATGTTAAGTCATTGGTTTATGCAGACAAACCAGCAACTCTTGACGCCATACGGACACATTTATTGGAAAAAGTAGTGAAAAATTGGACAGATCGAATGGACTATGTAGCTCGTAGCCGCGGCAGACATATGCCGCAAATCATATTTTAAAAATAAATGCCATGAAATTATCTACCAGATTACAATAACAAAAAATTCATTCCAACTATATTTCTGTCTTGTATTATTATTTAAAGTTCTCAAGCTCTTAAAAAAAAAACACCCATTACGACTACTACTAAGTTAGGCGAGGGATGAAGCAACAGGTGCCTACATTCGGCTCATATATTCGCAAGTGACGTGACGCAACACACATGACGTGCCGAGATTGTCAGTAACATCATCGAGGGTTTGCTGAACTTCTTTTTGGAACCTGTATGGCTCAAAATACGCGCTTTGCGAAAAATAGCCTGTTGCAAGTCACAACTATAACTATGAGCTCTAGAAAGTTAGGCTTACCTAAGTAATCACTGCCTGTATAACATTTGCATCAAATTTGACCAGTTGATGATATGTGATTGTTCATTCATATCAAAACATGATTGATAGTAGTTATATTCCATATAGTAAGAAGATGTCTTGTAAACCCACAGCGTACAGTCCATAGTTGAAGTCTGCGTCATGAATAGAATGGAAAGAAGAGAAGGAAGAATAATAGTATCGGTTCTATACCAGGGCTGAGCGTTTGCAGTGCCGTCACGATCTCACAGTAGTGGAGCGGTGAGGTCACTTCTTCTTGAGCATCTGGTTTCTGAAGGCAATCGATGGACCCATCAGCTGTTACCAGCAACACCTGAACAAACGAAGCACTTTAATCCTTCTTTAGATCTACTATGAATATTACAATTATCATCAGCTCCTATACGATCCACTGCTGCAGGATATAGTCTCTCTCATACTTTGGTAAGATTGACCGTATTGTCAATCGCAGTACCAGATCTTTCCCGCCTTTGAGATTGAGAGTAGCTGGCTCTTACATCGCAGGTTCTGGGTTCTTTTGAAGCCAACATTTTTGCAAAACTATATACTGTTTCTTTTATATTTAGTCGCAAATATTTCCAAGAACCGATAATTTTATTATTTCATGAAAATGTGAAGCACTTGTATTTAAGGCCAGATAGAGATTTAGTAGTAGTATAGTGAAAGAGCTGCCTTTTCTTCCACATAAAAACAATACTAACTATTTATATAGATCATTATTTAAACTAATAAGTCTTGAATTTAATAAAACATTTACTTCTAAAACACTCTCTCTAAACAGTCGCAAATCGTTTAATGAGTGGGCGACAGTAGGAATCCACAGTAGACATATGTAAGTTGTATGACCTTTACAATGAAAGATTATATAATCATAGTTTTTCATTTAGAGAATATGTAAAAAATATTCCAATATATTTAAAAGTGTTAATAAGTGTCTTGCACAGCCAAGTCATTATTTTTAAGAAACAAAATTAAGAACGCCTCTAATAAAATTAAAATGACTTGAGAATATAATCAATAATAAAACTGGCAAGATGAAACTACATAATTCAAACTTTCAACTAAATTTCCAATAATTTGACGAAATCAGATCAAGAAGCAACGGCTTTTGAACAATATTTTACCGACATTCCGATGTTGACTACAAAGTCACTCAATTCCTCCCCTGCTGTCACCGAGTTATTGCTCGAACAAAATGTAAATGTCTGTGAAAAAGAACTTGCATTTCATAGAATATTATCAGGTGATATTATAAAATATTTCAAACTATTAACATTAAGAAAACAGCAGATCTATGGAGGATTTCTGTTAAGGTTATTGCGTCTATAATAGATGCGATCGCATCCCAACTTGCTGATTTTATGAAACATACGTTTATTTAAATCTGTCAGTACATTGAACCCCACTAATTTTAGACCTATCATCTGTAGTCTGTACTGCAAAATCAAACTAAATCAAATGTTAAGTTTTATTTAAATGTAAATAAATCACTACATAACAATCAGTTTGGAAGGGGTCGCTCGACAACTGAGGCCGGTGTTGAGCTAATCAAACATATTTTCTGTACATGGGAAAATTCAGAAGATGCCTTGAGTATATTTTGTGAGCTTTCCAAGGCTTTAGACTGTGTTCACCATGAGACATTAATCAGGAAGCTACATCATTATGGTGTAAAACCCACAGTGCTTAAACTTATTATGTCATATCTAAATAATAGAACGCAAACAGTTGTTATTAATGGATGCAGTTCTTTCGGATCGGTAGTATCTATGGGTGTTCCTCAGGGCTCAGTTATTGGTCCCTTTCTGTTCTTAGTTTATATTAATGACTTACCTTACTTGATAGGGAATAACTATGATATAGTATTATTTGCTGATGATACTTCATTGATTTTCCGACTAAAAAGGCAATTATTGAAATATGACGAAGTGAATAATGCTATATCAAAAGTAGTACACTGGTTTAACGTCAATAATTTGCTTTTGAAGGGTAATAAAACGAAATTTATTAAATTCACTACACCTAATGTTAAAAAGGTGAATACCAGTGTGCTTTTAAGTGGGAAGGAGCTGGGTCTTGTTGAATCCACTGTTTTTCTCGATATTACAGTTGACGCGAAGCTTCAATGGGGCCCTCATATATCTAAACTAGCTGACAAACTTAGTTCTGCAGCATATGTTGTAAAAAAGATTAGATGTCTTACATGTGTTCAAACAACTAGATTAGTTTATTTTAGTTATTTCCATAGCATAATGTCATATGGAATCTTGCTATGGGGTAATGCAACTGACGTTGAAACTATCTTTGTTTTGCAAAAGAGAGCCATAAGAGCAATTTATAACCTAGCTCCGAAGATTCCCTTAAAGAAAAATGTAAATAAATAAATATATTAACTTTGGCCTCTCAATATATTTACGGGAACTTATTGTATGTACACAAAAACAAAAATAGTTTTGTTAAAACTATACTCTATTCCAATTACGAAATCCCTTTTGACACTTCTTAGAACGTAACTCTTCACGTTTCGCATAATTTGAAATAATAATCATTTTTGTTCATGGTCGTAAATCATCGTTTTTTTTACAAATACAGAATCAATCTAAATCATTATACAATTAATTCACACACACAATCAACATATTGTTTTTAGACATCGTGCTCAAAATAATTAAAACTTTAAAAGATAATTATATTTTACTGCCGTTTTGCGTTTACGTTCTATATTTTTATTTTTACTTTTTTACATAGTGACGTGACTAAAAGAATCGTATAAAATCGATTATAAACAGATTCTTTTCGCGAGTGAAAATCTCTCAACACTACGTCCACCTCGTGATCACGACCGCCATTTTGTTTGTCTCTTCAGTACGAGTGCAGAAGCCTTGTAAACGATACGCGTGTTCTTATCTTCACGCACAATCCCTGACGGGGTAGCCAGAGAGAACAGATCGCCAAGTGTCACGATCCTTACATATCTCTTTCGCTTCTTTCAGATTCATTATCTTCTTCATACATGCACGTCTAGGTATCCGAGTACTCTTGACCCTACCCTCTTCGAGCAATTTGCTCACATGGTCTTCGAAAGTTAGTCTCGGTCTACCTCGACACCTTTTAATATTAACTTTCGCGCTATATATTTTCTTCACCATTCGGTCTTCACTCATTCGCTCAACGTGCCCAAACCACCGAAGCACGCCCTTATCAATTTTTGTGATAAGGTCATCTTTCAAACCTGCCATATTGCGAATCTCTTCGTTTCGCTTTCGGTCGGCCATAGTAACGCCGCACATTTTACGAAGAGATCGCATCTCCACTGCATTCAACTTACTTTTATGCTTCTTCTGGCATACCCAGGTTTCGCTGCCATATAACAAAGTCGGTACCAACACTGCGTTATGTATTGCAAGGCGTGCACTCTTCGCTACGCCTTGTCTTTTGACTAACGCAGTCAGGGCACCATTGACTTTGTTCCCGGCAGCGACACGCCTGTCCACATCTAAATCACATCTTCCATCCCGGCTAAAAGCACTCCCCAAGTATACAATTTCATTTACCTGTTCTAGACATTCCTGATTTACCCATATTTCACACTTCGTTCTCTCTTCGTCCCTTTCAAATACCAGAACCTTAGTTTTATTAGCATTCAAACGGAGACCTTTAATTTCACATTCCTCTTTCATACACGTGACTAATGCCTGCAGTTCTGCCTCTGATGGTGCAATAAGCACTGCATCATCAGCATACAGCAGACAATTTACTTTTATGTCACCCAATTTCACACCCAAACAGCTATCTTTCAGCTTTTGTAAACAGCTGTCGAGATACAGTATGAACAGCCAGGAAGACATGACACAACCCTGTTTTACGCCCGTTTGGACGCTAAACATGGGTGACAGGTCATGCCCTACCCGCACACAGGCTTTACAGTCACAGTAAAGAGACTGCACAGCCCTTAGCAATCGGCCATCCACACCATACCCCGGCAACAGTTCCCACATTTTCTTCCTTACAACCTTATCAAATGCTTTCTCAAGATCCACAAAAGCACAGAAAATCTTCTGGTTAACAGCCAGAAGCTTTTCCGTGATCATACGGAGAGAAAACATTTGATCCGTGCATCCTCTTCCAGGTCTAAATCCGCATTGTGCCTCCCATAGAAATCTTTCCGATTTCTCTTGCATCCTACGTGTCAAAACCTTCGAGTAAACTTTACTTGCTAAACTGGTCAAGCTGATCGCCCGATAGCACCCGCAGTCAAAATGTGAACCTTTACCTTTATATAAAGGCACAATGACTGCGGATCGCCAATCATCCGGGACATCCCCCGTCCGCCAGCACAAATTGCACAGCAGATGAAAGCTGTCCCAGACGCGAGGCCCACCATACTTGACCATTTCAGCAGTAACTCTGTCTAGTCCCGCAGCCTTACCACATTTCAAACTTCGAATCGCACGTTCAATCTCTTTCATACTGATGACCTCAGTGTCATCGAGGTCCGGGTCTGGCGTACCAGTCACGGCGTCATCCCCGGATCCCTCACTAAGATCATCACACGCATACATTTCTCTGTAAAATTCGCTCCATCGCTGCATGACGTCCGATTTTTCTGATAGGACGTCATTAGTTCTCGAAAGCACTTTGTTCATTCTTAAGGCCGTCGCACCACTTCGGGCCCTTCCAACCTCTTTCCAGAAGAGTTTGGAGTTCTCCTTAAAGTTGTGCGACAACCTTTCATCCGCTTCCATTCTACACCTTTCACGCACTTCCTCAATCAATGCTTTCGTGTGAACTTTCTGCAGCTTATATCTTTCTTTCATCTTCTCTCTCATATCCTTATCATTACTAGAGGCCAAGTAGTCTAACCATGCTTTCTTCTTCTTCTTTACAGCTTCTTTCACTTCATCATTCCACCATGCATCTCTTCTTTTACTACTGCCTCTTTTTATTGTTCCACACACTTCTTCCGCTGCACTTACCATTCCATCCCTAAGGTTCTGCCATGTTCTTTCTACACATTCGTTTCTGCCATCGATGGTGTCAAGCTTTTCGGCTACCCTCGCATGATATTTGTCCCTAGTGTCCGCTTCCTGAAGCTTCCAGCTTCGGATGCGACAGACCGACTGTGGTTCTGTCACTGTCGTCCGGTAGCGCCAACCCGCGAACAGACCCCTAAATCTAGTAATCACTAGATAGTGATCCGTTCCCAGGTCAGCACCCCTGAACACTCGCGTATCCATAACCTGTTTTCGCAGTCGGTCATCCACCAGGAACAAATCGATCATACTTCTCTCATTCTTTCTTTCTCTAGTATAC